TACCTACCTACCTACCTACTTACCTACCTACCTCCCTACCTCCCTACCTCCCTACCTATTTACCTACTTACCTACCTACCTACCTACCTACTTATTGGGAAGGGTGCCTTCAAGATGTTGGCATGGGGCTTGTTTCCCAATGGAATCCCTTCCGATCCCAAGGCCCTCTCACACATTTAGGCTAAAGTCTCCCTTGTGAAAAACTCTGGAGCCTCAACGTTACGGGACAGAGAGACTGTTTACAGGGAGGCTGACACTGACAATTCTTATTCTCTGTGGCAGTTACTGACTGAGGTCACAGTGAAGCTGGACAATTGCAAACCCCACGATGGCGGCTAGAACGCTAGCTATCGCCCAGCACCCTCACTACCCAAAGGAATCTGGCCGCATCTTGCTGTGAGCGAGTGGCCCGGTGCCCACGGCTTCGGGCAGGCTGCCTACCTTCCAAAGTGCTGCTTCATCTGCTTGCAAGCATAGTAGTTCCCGTCCTTCAAGCTCCGCATCTTCATCACTTCCGAGAACGTTCCCTCTCCTATCTTGCCGACTGTCTTGTAGTCTAAAGACAAAAAACAAAGGGACCAGATAGGAAAATGCCGTGAAACCGCAGGCTCGGCACAAGGAGTCAAACGGCGGAGCAGGTGGACTGGTGGATTTGCGTTCGGGTGGGCTGCGTTATGACGGTGTGGGCCCCTCCTCCTTCTGTCGCCACATCTCATCTCCAGTGCTATGGCACGGCAATCAGTGTGGCACTTCCTCAGCCGCCGTCATGATTCCCTGGGGTTTGCTCCCGGGTGTCCAAAGATCAGATTCAGGAAGATACTGATAGTAAAAGGCAAGCAAAGTGGAAAACTGAAAAGAAAACAGAACCAGCCTATGTGAGAGCCGCTGGAATGCACGTCAGGTCCCCCTCGCTTTAGGAGAAGCTGGGATGCTGGACTGTGCTAGCAACGAAGCCCTGTTTCCTTCCCGTCTGTGCGTGCCCTTTTGTCCAGGGCAGAACACCTGGGAGCCGTGCTGCCCAGGAGCCTGACCCACCCACAGCCGGCACACACTGCTACACCACACACACACACACACACACACACACACACACACACACACACACGGAAAAGCCAAAGAGTGCAGAGGCCAGGCTTGGGCGGCGGAGCACAGGCATTGATGGCAGATCCTGCAAGACAACTCACATGGTCTGCGGAAGTTACTGGAATTCTCGTACTGGAATTCTGGAAGCTGTTGAGTGGCTTTTCCCCGGCTCAGCTGCCACAGAGAACAGTTGGATAAGCCTCATTGCCTCTGTTAAACTCCTCCTGTTTGACAAACCAGGAGTGGTTTCTCTTTTCCCGGCCGAATCTGGACAGGAATGAGCCCCTGGCAGAAGGGTGCTGCAGTTTCCCACAGTGATGGTGTCTGTTGATCACAACAGACTGCTTTTACAAAGACAGTTCACGGAAAAGGGGAGGTGCCGCTGAGAATTGCTACTTTCTGAGCCGACCGGAAAGGCTTGAGAAGTGTCCAGAGAGCAAGGTTCTCACTGGCTGGAAAAGCTCCTACAACCCAACCCACAGATCCGTTGGTTCAATTCCGAGGCAGAAGGCGGAGAAGGGTCCCACAGGGCTTCCTCGGCTGCCTGTGGATCACCATTCTTCACCACGGTTTTGTGGTGGTTTTGTGTTGACTTGCCTGGGCCAGGACCCTCAGGTTGGCCTGGCAACCCTGCATGGTGAAACCTAACATCACATCAGCAATTTCCATGAAGGAATTTGTGGTGAGCAGCCGAGCAGTTGTGGGAGGACTAGGCTGGAGCGTAACTCCCACATGCAGGCTGAAAGGAACTTTCCTCCGGCGAGGGGCCTGCCTCTGCCATGACTCGGCGCTGTCCAGGTGCTGGCTGGCTGCTGCTGCTCTGGCTCAGTGCCGTCTGACCTGGCCTGTGACCTTCCTGGTTCATTGTGCTTCCTAGGTTATCAGCCTGTACAAGGAGAAGCCTCTAGCTCAGTGGTTCTCAACCTTCCTAATGCCGCGACCCTTTAATACCATTCCTCCTGTTGTGGTGACCCCACATGTGGGCGTCTCTATCTGCATGTGGGCGGACCCGCCTGGAGACAGATAGAGGAGTGGTGTCTCGGTTTCTAAGACCATTGGAAATATGGTCTAGGGCGACCCCTGTGAAAGGGGTGTTCGACCCCCAAAGGGGTTGCGACCCACAGGTTGAGAACCGCTGCTCTAGTTCAACATCTGACCATGGACTTAAATTGGACTAGACTCGAACATTTCGACTACAGTGTGAGGCAGTTTCTAGATATAAATCCCTTCTTTCCCTTCTCCTCCCTTCCCCTCCCTCCCTTCCTCCCTTCCTTCATATGGGTCAGTAGTTCTGCTTTTCCAAAGCACCCAGCCTAACACAGCCTGATCCTGGCTAGCACAGCAGTTCTCAACCTGTGGGGCTCGGCCCCTCTGGGGGTTGAACAACCATTTCACAGGGGTCGCCGGATTCATAACAGTAGCAAAATGACAGTTAAGAAGTAGCAACGAAAGTAATTTTTTTTTCAATGAAAATAATTTTATGGTTGGGGGTCGCCACCACCTGAGGCACTGTATGAAAGGGTCGTGGCATGAGGAAGGTTGGGAACCGCTGGGTTAACAGAAGCAGGCTTTGAGCCCACAAAGCCCTTCAGGGGTCTCATCTTGATGAGATGACGTGCTGCCAGTGCCCATTTGGGATGTTGATTTGAAAGCGCCAACAGTGAAAAGTTACTTGTTTTTAAAAGTTACTATGGTTATATTAAAAAAAATCCAAGTTCTTATAAACTATCAAGATATACTGAAGCATTTGTAGGTGAAATGCTATGATATTTAAATGTTTTTTTAAATGCTCCTATAAGTAGACTCACTCACTACTATACCAGTGATTTTGGGAAGAGGACAATATCTGACAATATTTATTGAATCTTTAAAATGTACCTACCCTTTGTCCCAGCGATTGCAATTTGAGAAGTTTTCCTGTAAAACATACCTGCTGAAATGTAGGTGGAAGTTTCAAAAAGTTTGTGAGGAAATGCCATTATCTCTTCATTTTTCCACAAGCTTTTTGAAATTCCCTTGTACATCACGATAGGTGCATGTTCAGCGTAGCATTGTTTAATAAAGAAAAATTGGTAACTCAAGTGTCCACCAATAGGAACCTGGATAAATCAACATACAGAATTCAGTCGGTGTACAACCGTGGTCTTGCCTCGCACGACTGGGACTAGAAATCCCACATGAGCCAGCAATGCCTCTGCTGGGTACATCCCCTACATAAGGACGAGCCACACCACTCTCCTGTCGGGGAAGGAGGACAGGGGTGCACAGGGCAAGCATAAGGGGCTCCTCACAGCGGGAGACAGTTCTCTGTTAACAGTGCACAACACTTAGACCGAATCCACCTATAAACCAGGGACTTTTCTTAGCAACAGTGTGTCAACACTGCTACACCAATTGTAACCAAGGTTACTAATGCAACCAATCTTACTGATGTATTAACCACAGAGGAGCCTGGGGGACGGGAGGGGGAACACGTATATGGAACGCTATGTACTATGGAACACTATGTACTATCTGCTTCATTCTTCTGTTGGCACCAACCGACACTGAAGCCTATAAATTAGAGAATGCCCATCTGTCTTCGTTATCGAGAGCTGCTGTCAGTGGGCGGCTTCACTAAACCGAAATGTGTTTTCTCACACTCGGGGAGACCAGAAGTCCAAAGGCAGAGCATCGGGTCTAGAGGACGGCTTTCTTTCCTCTTTGTCAATTCTGGAGAGAGGTCCTTTCTGAGCCTCTGCTCCTGGTCAGTCTTCATAGAGTTCAACATCTCCCTCTTCCCATCTCTGCGGCTTCCATTGCCGAATCGCTTTTGTATCTCAGAAGAGACTGACTCAAGACCCGCCCCAAGACAACCCTGCCTCACGAATATAACAAAGACCCTCCCATCCCCAGTGGGATTATAACAACCGGCATGGAGGTTAGGATCGAGGACACCTGATGCAAAATCTCTACCTTCTACCATTCTGTATTTTTCAATCTCCAGAACGGGCATCAAGTTCTTGAGATGAGTGGGGGGTGGGGGGGTGGGGTGGGGAGGATGTTCAAAGATTTTAAGAAGCCGCTGAGCTTGACCATGAACTGCCAGCACAAACATGATCTTAACCTTAACTGTCGGAAAGTGAAGACGTCGGTGTCAGGGAACACATTCATTCCGCTGGAGGGAAGAAAAAAATATAAAATCCGTTCCTGAAAGCAAGGCTGTGGACAGAGGAATGAAAGATTACGAGGGAAGGGAAGGGAAGGTTTACAACCCCAATTTGACGGTCCTCACAAAATGAAAAGCATCAACCGCGACTGTTAAAGGGCTTTGGCTGTACAGACTGAGAGCCAGTGCCAACCTCCCGGCGGGCTCCAGTAAGAAATCCAGGCCGGGGCTGCCCTGGATCTGGATTGTGGTGGAGAGAGAGTCCCTTGTTCCCCACGCGGCTCTTCCAGTCGAAGGAAAGTCTGGGGTCTAAGACATGGATGAGAGACAGGGAGAGACATGATCTTTATGCACAAAGCAAAACACCCCATGGAGGGAAAGTGTCATCCGTTTCCCTCCAGCAGGTCCAGGCCTTGAACATCAGATGGGAACCACCTGGGACGTCACAAAGCACAACAGGAAGCTATGAAGGGCACACCCACCGCTGCCCCCCACAAACGCCCCCAGAGTCAACAGCCCCCAGAAGAAGGCTCAAAGACAAAGAGGCACTAAAAGGCAGAAGAAGGGGCACAACAGGGATCAGAAAGGAGTATGTTCATTAAACGAGCATTAGGCCTCGACTCACTTTGATTTTGCCAGAGCTTGTGTGCATGAACTCTAAGCCTTATTTAAGGCGTGAAAGTGGAAGCTCCATTCACTTCTTTCTGTGAATGGAGAAACTTGGCACATCCAAATGCAAACATAGTTTGCTTCCAAAGAGTTTAATCCAGGAAGGCTCTATGAGTCCTAGCTCTGGGGCATTGTGGTAGTTACATCATCTGGTGTCAACTTGAGACTATTAAGAGTGAAGGGGTGGGGTTTAGCCTGTCAGTCGGGTCACAGCTTGATGACCTCATCTGGAGGCACTACAGAGATACATAGCTCACTGGAGGCCAGACCCACTCGCTCCCTGCTTCGTCTTCCTGCTGACAAGACACATGGAGCCAAGCTGATGGAGCCAGGGCCCTGGGGCTGGTGGAGCCACGTGGAGATCCACAGCAGCACAGAGATGCTTCTACCACCACTGGATCCACAGGAGTTTCCACCCACTGGCCTGTGATCTTCCTGCCTTTGGCATTATTGTATGGCTGCGTGAGTCTGTAGAGGAGTTTATAGACAGGTGTCAGACACATGGGCTAATATCAGACTTACGGACTCAAAATGTTTTCTTAATATACAATTGCTCTTTGGTATAAAGTTCTCCCTTCAATGAATGTACAAATGTGCTTTACACAATTGATGTATGTATGGCTTGTGATAAGAGTTATATGAGCCCCTAATAGAAC